TATTTTTTGGAAATGCACCAAGCATTATGAATGCTAGAATCCAAAGCGAAAGCAAAAAGCGGCCACCACCATTTTTTAATCCGAATATTGGTGCGCAAATTTTCAATGTTTTGATCCATCCTGTCAGTTCCACCCATATATTTATTATATTGATTTATTATATATGGCTGGGATATTAAAACATGCTTCTTGTTTGCTGAAGACCATCTTTTCACTTCCTTCATTGGTTCCAGCCCATTGCAGCTTGACAAGATAGAAACCACACTATTGTCATTCCATCTAACCGCAATAATATTCGAATCACTATCTGTAAAATAGTCAGATGTGCCTCTAGGTAATTTTTTCATTTCTTTTATATCCATCAATGGACATTTCTCTATTCGGTTAATTCTAACTGTACCGGTTGCATAAATATGATTTTCTTTTAGTCGTTCAATTAATTTGAAAAAAGTGAAAAAATTGTCAAAAAATAAATGATATCTCTTATTATCAGGAAGGCATGATGTCAGTTTTTTAACTACTGATCCACCGAGTCCTAAATCTGGATCATAATCTTCAGTGGCTCCTTGATAGGGTTCACAACTCACTAAATAACCGAGACGATTATTCATGCACCAAATTTTGAATCCGAATCGGATAGGTTTACCTCTTATAAATTGCTTAGAGGAATGCCTACCAAAATATGGTATCATGGACTCGTCAATTGATAAACAAGTTTCTTCTGGCCAATATTTTAAAAATCTTTCATTTAACATATTAAACAGAGGTCGAACTTTGGCAATTTTATCTTTTTTGTCAATTTTTTCGTTATCGCATGTGTGTAAATATCTGAGAAGTTCCTCGAACCTATTCACACTGATGGCATTACTCACTGCTAAATTATGAACATCATTGCTTTGTTCCCAATACATTCGTCGATTTGGCAGAGGAGCATAACCCGATAAGAGCAAAACCGCTAATGTCACTTTATATTCTTCTTCAGTGGCATTCAACTGCTTCAACTTCTGACTAGCATATAAATTAGACATGTCAGTGATGAATTTGATTATTTCATCATCAAAAAATAATTTAAACAGAGTGTGAGGAGATGAATTCTCAAATTCTCTATTTTCAGAAAACACTGGTATGGGTTCTACATTCAAAATGTCACTCTTCTTCCAATTTCTTTCAATTGATATACTTTTTTTCACTCTTTTTTTTAATGGTGTTTGTATTTGCATATCAATTTCTTCTTTCTGAAGCATTTCTTTGCCTGCCTCAATGTTGGAAATTAATGCTTCAGCATTTGAATTCAATAAAGTTTTTGATAAATTGTCAATAATTCCTTCCCCATCCTCAGGACCACTATCTTGATCTGAACAGTTGGGATCATCAGGTGGTAGCATAATGATATCTGCTGAAAAAAAATCTTTTTCATCTTCTAACATGCTAACAACATCATGGAGTGAATATCTGTAATTAGTAAATTTACCATTCAATGCACTGCATAGTGTCCCGAAAAAGGAACAGTCATAATTTTAGTGTTTATAAAAAAACTACAAGATGTTCTATCATCAATTTCACGTAATTAACTAAATAAATAATAATGCAGTTTAAAATTTTTAAAAGTTTCAGGAAAAAATTTAATCAAAATTGTTTATTACCTTTTTTGATTAGACATGTCAAAAAATCGAAATTTTCAGTATCGCTGACTTTAAACATAAAAAACTTCAACAAATTTTCTGATGAAACAAAAAGGTAAACAAAATAGTGAAGATGGGTGATTTATAGAGATGTGCTATAAAAAAAAACTCAAATAAGACAAAGACTAATTTGATAATGAATTTAAAAGAGCTGTTCCTAAAAAGACCCACTATGCATTGGTGGGTTAATAATATTTTTATAGGTCGTAGAACTAAAAACGATTTAACGGTTTGCGTTATGTAGCTTTTAAGGGTAAGATAGTATACAACTTGGCATAATCGCATAAAAGAGCCTGCAGAAGGATGTATTATACACTGCAGTTTATATTTATGCACTTGAACTGCACTGAATAGCACAAAATCTGTTTAAAAAAAAGGAAACTAATTATCAGCAACCACAATGGCTGTAAGATCAAAGGTCGCAAGTGACTGGTGGGTGATGTGTGGCGTACGTACGCAAAGAAAGAAGTCACGCCAACCTCCACCGCAATCTCTCTGATGAAACTCCTTCCATTATTTGCACGCCACGCAATTATTTCTAATGTTTTTACACAGCTTTTTTTTGTTGTTTTTTTTGTTGTTTATTTTTTATGATTTTTTCATACTTTTTTTTGTGCGATTAAGAACAAAAGTTGTATCATTAATCGAATAATCTGGATTCACTCGCGCGTTAATTTATTTATAAGTTCATCAGAGTGGCAGGTTTGTTGTGTAAAATATCAGTTCTGACGGATTTATGTCATACCCTTAAGAATCAGTCATGTCATTATTGCCGTTATAAAAAAAGTTAGCCTAATTTAAATCGAAAGCTCAAAAAATTACAAAACACACAATGGAATTTAAACCCCAGTCACACGCAACATCATCCATTCAAACTGATCCAACGAACAACAAAGTCATCAGCATCACGCACAACAATTACAACTTCCAACAGCAAGATGCATAACCTACAAGACAACGCTTCCATTAACAACAACCAAGTATGACCAGACCACATACACACTGACAAGAACAGACAAAACGTCACCCAGAAAAAATCACACCACACAACCAAACACACAAAACACACACACACACACAAAACACACACACAGACACACACACACACACACAGACCACAGACACACACATACACACACATCGCATCCAACGCACGTACTCGTCGACAAATCCTCTTAAATGCGATCATGTTATAAAAACAATGCAGGCGACTAAAATGATTAGCGACCGCATAGCAACAAGACTCAGCATATAAAAGGAACATAGCCCGCCAATAAAATAAGATGTCATTAATTTTATGCCCTCCTACACTCGTTGCCTAGATAAGATGGAAAAAATGCGTTTTCATTTCACCGCTGGACACTTCTTAATGTCGAATTAATTTTTTATGTAATTACCAAAAATGGAAAAGTGCTCTGGAATGAGCAATTAAGTCATAATGTGCTGTACTGGAACGCCTACATTATTTGAGGCGGACGGATTAAATGGCCATTATTCATTTTATGTATTTCCAATTAAATGACTGAATTCTTTTTATAAATAAATTATTTTCTATACGGCGTTTTTTACATTACGAAACAAAAAATCTACCCAACACATACTCGTAACGTTAATAACATTTCAAATTATTCCCTTCATATTTTTTCAAATTTTCAACATAAATTTCGGTAAATTAATTTTAATTATATAATGTAAAACTTTTAGAAAATTCCAACTAATGTATTTAAATTTTTAATGAATCGTGACAGATTTCGCTGGTCTCAAAGTCGTTTCAGTATTTTTTTGAAGTGGAATGTTGACAAGTGCCATCTTAATATTTTTTGATGTGGTGTTAACGCAAAAATGAAATGCACCCAAATCCTTTCTTTAAAAATTAAACACAGTAAATTGGAAAAAAAACATAAATTATGTTTTTGGTAATTTTTCAAAATTTAGCTTTGATGACGTCAGAAATTATTTACCCGATGAATGACCTGATGTAATTTTTTCCTTTGAAACTCGGACAGTCATCGAGTCAAGCAGCCAACACACACATCCCTACTTTGTGAAAAACTGTGGGTTAATTTTTAATTCCCAACAACTATTTTGTTTTCTTGTATTTATATTTATAAAGTACTACTAGTAGTAGTAAAATGCAACAACCACAGCTGTAGTAGTAACAGTTGTGGTTGTAGTAGTAGCAGCAACATCAGTAGTAGTATTAGCAATTGTAGTAGTAGCAGTATTTGTAAAAATATTGGTAGTTGTAATAATATTAATAATATTGTTAGTAGTAGTAGTAGGAATGGGAACATATCTTTTATTTTTCATCAAATGCGTAAAGTCAATAATTAGTTAATTAATAGAGAAATATTCATGATTAAAATAAAATTAAAATAAAATTAAAATAAAATCATAATAATAATAATAATAATAGCGGTAGTGTAGTAGTAGTCGTAGTATTAGCAGTAGTAGTAGTAGTCGTTGTCGTCGTTTTAGTAGTAGTAGCAGTCGTTGTCGTCGTTTTAGTAGTAGTAGCAGCAGCAGCAGTAGTAGTTGTAGTAGTAAGCTTTGTTTGTTCACACTAATTTAATTTGAAACCAGTTTATTTAATTAAACAATAAAACCGAGATAAAATAATTGCCAAAAAAATATTTACATGTTATTAATGATGGTAGTAAAAGGAAGACAATAAGAATTTTATGTCCAACTATGCAGCTTTAATCAACTTTTATCGACATATCCTACGCATATCCTTCAGTAATAACCTTGGATACAAAAAAAACTGATTTTAATTTCAAGGTATGGTTTTTTCGATTTTTTTGTTTTTAATTATTAGTTTAATAATAACAAAAAAGCACACAAACATGACGTAGAAATATAACACATATAAAAATGATTCATGTTTGTTTATTTACACAATACAATTATTTCAATACCAGTATATTTCAATAAATGAACAAACAAAAATTGTTGAACAAATCAATGCAATTTTCATTCTGTTCGCTAAATCAATGGTAGAGATTAATAAAAAAAAATCAATAATCGCATACATATATATATATATATATATACTACATATATATATATATATATATATATATATATATATATGTAGTATATACAAAATCACATACAGTCACAATCACACACATACACTTATACACATCCAATGCAAGAAAATGAATACAAAAAATAGATGATTACTACACACACCACACACACACACACAACATACACACACACACACACACTAGCACACATACAAACACCATGCACACAAACACACATACAAACACCGCACGCACAAACACACACATTTCCCTTTTTTCTCTCTCTTACTCACTCTTTCTATCTCACACACATATACAAACAGTTTCGCTCTATCTCCCACATACACACACACACACACACACACACACAAACAACAAACCCATACATAACCACACACACACAAACATACACACATATACACGAATCAGCATTGGATTTCAAGACAAGAGACCTGCGAATTGCGGTGAAAGCATTTTTGCATCTGAGCGTTAGATGATGAATGTGAATATAATTGGATCAACACAGGTGACTACGTAGTCGTCATAGTGTGGTTGGTGTGGCTGGTGCTGCTACTTCTTAGGTATAGGACTCTTTTATTTGTTTGCAGCTTTTCTTTGTAAATTTTGAATTTCAAGTGTGTGTTTATTTGGAATAAATATCCCATCTGATCTACTGGCTAGAATTTATTGTTTTATTCAAACTTAATCGTTTTTTTATATACATTTAATAAACTCTTATTTGTATATTTTTATATTTGAAAAAAACTTTGAAACAAAAATCGTATGTACAGTCAGTAATGAATACAGGAGGGAACCTGGTTTGGCCACACCAATACTACAAATTTGATTGGTTTCTTGGCCTTACTGCCAAATTTCAAAATTTAAACATCTTCAAAATTTTGGCCCCTTCCCGTCAAAGCTGCTTAGATCAACTTCTGTGTACAGTTCGTGTGAATTTTTTTCTTGGTACCAATTTGTTTGAAATAATCTTACTTAGGCGTGTTCATTGGAGACTCTTTATTATATTTATTACGATTTGATAAGCTTTTATGAAGAAACCTTGTTTCAATTTGTTGAAGAAAATAAATTGTTTGTTCGACACAATATTTAAAACCTATCACTCTCCTATCAGTTTAACAACAACTAATATTGTGAATTCACATATCTTTTAAACCACTATGATAATTTCTACAAATTTATACTGACTTTTTACAAATGTCTGTTTAATATCAGCGCACCATTGAAATGCATTTAAATATGGGATTGCTTTTAAAGCGATCGTAAGTTAATTACTACCTGGTCTGACTCGCTGATGATGGCTGAATGTGTCGTCTGCATTGTAGATCCTCCCTTTTAGCACATGTTGTAGCGCCACACCCACCTCTTACTTCAACATATCTTTCCATTTTGAAGCATTTCAATAATTATAAATAAATAATTTGTCGATAATTGTGTTAATAAAATGAAATATAATTTTTTAAGATATTTAGTGTAGTTTGTATAATCAGAAAATATGAATGAATGCTGACCTTGGTGAGGAGCACGGTTGATGGTGTGTGTGTGTGTATGTTTGCGTGTATGTGTGGTGTGTATGTGTGGTGTATATGTGTGGTGTGTGTGTGTGATGTACTTACAAACACAACACACAAACTACAAACATCGTTCATTTATTTGATCAGAATTACAGTAGCAAAAAAAATTGAATAAAATGAG